GCGTCCGCGCGCTCCGCGCTTGAAATGAGTGTCTTCCCGTCTAAGCTCTCTAAGACCGGTAGGTCGTCTCCAGGTTTCAGTTGACGTTTCAAATAGGCAAATATTCGCTTGGGTGCAGTTGTGGCCGAGGATGCTAGCTCCTCTTCGAACTGCCGGCGTTTCTTGATCTTTGCGGCGTTACATAAGTTACGCTGTTTCTTGTACACCGCGTAATCTTCATCACAACCCGAGCTGATGTATCTATCCCAAAGTTTACGACGTCGTCGCGCTAACTGTCTATATTCCCTATCAAACCAATGCGGTTTGACAGGTCCGAGTTTTGGATACTTAAGGGGAACGAACCGAGTACAGAGCGAGTTAAGCTTCCCCTTTATTAATGACCACCAAGCCTCAAGTGACGCATCATGTGGTAGTGTCCAATCAGTCTGACTTGCGACTTGGACGAGTCCGTTGAAGTCCGTCTTCCAATAGTTGAATGTCGGCTTCTGTTGATTGTAATATGGTAACGACAGTTCTAAGCTTGCTACAATAGAGCAGTGGTCACTGTTCGCCAGAGGTTCGATGACTCTGATCTCTTTTAGCTTCTGCTCGCAGCTCGTAAACATTAGGTCCAGACAAGATGCCGAGTACGGAGTTACGCGCGTCGGTTGGATGACATGTTGCGTTGCCCCGATTTCAATAGTCATTTTAGTGAATTGAGCCTCAATGTTGCCGTGACCGGGAGGAAGTCGAACATCTGGCCAAATTATCTTAGGTAAATTTAGATCCCCCATCAGTAAGAACTGAGGGCGGCTCATGTGCTTCTGTACATGTGGTATCCAATCGCAGCAACGGTTTAATGGGCTCCGGTAGATAACCTCCACAATTAGTTTTGCACGCCTGAGACGGATTGTGCACCACAATTGCTCGCATAAACTATCCTCGCTCCGATAGGTACTAATAAGTTTACCAGATAGTGACGATTTTATGTACAACAGAACACCACCATGAGCCTTTGATTTTCGGTCACATCGGAAACAAGAGTATCATGACAACACGACCTCTTGGGGTATGACGTCGGAGTTCAACCATGTCTCTGCAAGTCCTAAAATGTCCGGCCGCTCCGAGACAGCGAAACGGCACAATTCGTCACGTTTGTTCATTAGGCTGCACACGTTGGCGAATGCGACACGGAGGTCCTGGGAGGTACTGCGGGACGTGCCTGGAGGTTGAGCAACCGATTGATACGGGTTCGTACACCCTTCTTGATCACCCGAAAATTTACAATTTGTAAGTCAGTCTCACCTTCCTCTGTACGGAGTTTGAGCTCAATGCCCGCAGTCTTCAAACGATCCCTGTCCTCGGGTTCCAAATCTCGGCGGATGTGAACTTTTATGCCTTTCAGCCTTGACAGACGAGACGGTATGAGCTGCGGCATATTAGGATTTGCAAAGGTGATCCTCAGAGGTCGACATGACTGGTTAGTTTTCTGGCCAAGTCGGATTACTTGTTTAATCGTCACACTGTCCTCGCCCACATCCAAGAGTCTATCGATGAGCCCCTGGAGGAACTCAACATCGTGATCATAACGTATCTGAGGGTTTTCATCTTTTGACTCCGGTACGTGGAAGACCATGAGATTATGACGCCTCAGCGAAATCAGTGATGAACCTGTGGGAGCAGAACTAGAGGCGCTTAACTGATTGGGTAGTTGTTTATCAGCAGGTGACGTCTGAACTCGATTACGTGGGCCCTTGCGCTTTTGAGTGGTCCATGGATCCTCGGTGTTCAGAAGTTCACGAACAGGCTCTGAGAAATTCACGGACCGATCAGTGAAGCGGCATTTCGTAGCTTCTGAGTCTGAGTCTTCCATCGGTGGGAAACATTGAACCTGGGATTCGGCCGGGGTCGAAGACGCTGGTGGTGGTGCAGATCGCGGAGTGACAATAGAAGGCGAGGTGACAGAGGTACTTTCACGAGGGCGTTTGATCCCACGTGGTGAACGGTTTGTTTCTATCTGAAAGAGTGATTTTTCCGTAGTTGTTTGCGGTCGCTGCGTATTCTGATGTTTTGTACCGCGACATTTATCACATATAACTTGAAAAAACCGATGTCGGATGTCGAGCGATTTTCGAAACACGTCAACGGATAAGCCAATACACGAAATATGGAACAAAACATCACAGCTGAAACATCGAAGTGCATGAGCCTTATTTCCCACAACTTTCGAACACGAACCACAAGTAGCTTGAGACGGCATCACAAGCTAGAGCTAATCCAAGATGGCCGACAGAGATGGCAGTATGGCAAATCAGTGAGATCTCCGGAAGTAGCCAAAGAATAGCTCCCAAATTTGCACCGCTTGGAAAATACGTCAAAAGAAGAATAATGGTGCACAATTCACACAGATAAAACGCTGCTAACACAGTAATCTGAGGCAAAAGTAGTATCCAGCACACGTTGATCCAAAAATCCGCGGCGTCCGTGGGTACAGCCAACTCTTTTACTGGGGTCTTCATACTCCTATGCCTTACTGTTCCTTATAGCATCCCCTACGCTTCCGGAAACGCTGCGCCCCGCGGACACACTGTTTAACAACTAAGATGGGTAGATTGAAATTAATCATAATCAGATCCACAATTGTTTCGCGACTTCGATTAATTCATAAACTGTTTTGTCATCCTTTACCTGAGCCATGTGATTCGCCTAGATTCATCGAAGCGGATTATTTGAGTACAGGTCACTAGTAGTATAAAACTTTGATCTATTTACTATCGTGCAGAGAAACGAAATCTGATGCGCGTAGAGTCGTTATTCATCATGGAGCTAGCGCGTGCTGTGTGAAGATGTTGCAGCTCGTATAACGTGACTTCATGTTAAGTTTAGGCATTTCGCTAGGAAACATTTAATTCCGGACCATTACATCAAGTTTTGCCTTTGGGCTCTTTACGTTTTACATTATTGTTGACCGCTGCCGAGGACGCTGATTCCAAGCCTACAACTGCAGTCACAATCATCCTTTTCTGCGCAGAATGAATGGGTATTGAATTTTGCGTGTCAATTAATTTGTAGTGATGTTCCGCCGAGATATCTGTCGTTATTGGGTTGGACAAGCTATGACGTTAAAACAAACCAGTGAACCTCTTTTCAGTTTCTTCATCGTCCTCTGACGGTCCTCCGTCTTTAGCTAGACGTAGTGTGAAGGAGAGTTTCAGGTATATCCTATGTGTAGCAGAATTTCTAACATAGTTCACGTGTTCATCCCTGTTGCTCCACGTCATATTAGTGTAAGTAAAATTCCAAAAAGCACTAGACCATTACTTCTCCCTAGTGGTACTCGTTCGTGGTACCAATTTCCTCGGTCTCCTGCTACGGACCGAACATATGACCGCTAGCAACTTACGCCAAGTAGCCAGCAGCTTATGATGCGGAGTCATAGGAGGCGGAGGCAGACCGTCTGAACTTGCAAGCTAACTGGGGTACAGTGCAACCTATCCTCCACTGCCATGCAGGATCCTACCACGGCAGAGGACAGTGGCTGGCCTCCGAGGTTACCGCTTCCAGTACACAGTAGCTACGTTCGCATAGCACTTGAAGACTATGAGCTTGATTTCGTAGTTTACTGATGAGTAGCATAATTCAGCCATTGTTGCACGCATCATGAGCATGAGTGCCGGTTTAAATGCATGGTCAGTTTCGTGTTTCTAGTGCACATTTGTTTACAAAGAATTGATCCATCATTTTGCTCCTCACAATGTTCAATAGTGTAGGGTGAACTGTTGGATTATTTGCCTTGGCGCTCGGTGGTTTGTGTGGTCGTCAATTCTTCGATACCAGTTAGTTTTTCTGAAAAAGTAACGCATTCACAATTAATGCCTTAGTGTGATTATTTGGTTTCGCACATAACTGTCGCAATGGTATTTCTATTCATTTCGCTTTCGTACTACAGCACTAATGTTGTGTGTTAAACTTGTGTATGTATAATGTTTCTAATTTGGTGTAGACCGACTTTGCAAAGATAGCCTTGCTGACTTTCCTTACCTGCATCACTAATAACAGTAAGTGGAACTAATTGTGACATGCTCGCAGTACTGAAGGTGACGGAGTTTACCTATGACTAAGGCATCATACAACTCACCATTTGGTGTAGTAATTAACGCACGACAGGAACCGAGACATCCAAGAATGAGGACCCTTTCAAAACCAATAGGAACCTTATTGAATGGGAACTTTTGTTCACATGCGGCTCAAGTTATTATCCTACCACTTGTCAGCAGCTTCAGTTTAATAACCAAGTTCATATTAGGACCAAATATAAAGTGGAACATTTTCAAACTGGGTATTTTTCGTGTATGACTAAAGAAAGCACATATTGTAACAGGCAATCACCAAGATAAGTTCCTCGCCGTTCCTGCTGCATCAAAAGCGGATTGCAGACGCCGTGATTTCCCCCAGTATGCTTTACCTAATGATCTATTCCTACAGCCAACATTCTTCTTCAGAAAATGCAACCAATCCTGGACAATATTAAACCCTCACACTGTGTCTGAGCTTTCGCCCTACTGGTCAACACCATTGTTGGAATGAAAGTGTCAGACCGCATACACGACTTGGTATCCGAATTGACTCCGGCTTTTTCTGCTTACACCAGATTTGATGACGGTATTCCGCAAAATGTGATGTGCACGCGAGATTCTATATACAAATTGGTTTGCAGCTCCAAAAATTCGTTGTCTATTACCAGTGAACTCTCGTTTATTTCCATTCCAGAATCATAATAGTTACAGCAACTAATGTACTCACTGTTTGACTAAACGATTTATTATGTGCATCGAGTACGAAAATACCACTAAATATGTACTATGTAGCAGACTAACAATGCCAGCTACGTTGGTCAGTTTTTAAGTAGGAGTTCACTATCGTGATAACGTGGATCTTAATTACCTTGGAAGTCAGCCAGATCAGGGATCAAATTACCGTTGAGGGACTTACTTGCATTTATTTTCGGTCACGGTTTTCAGCCCCCAAGACAAAAGCAGCAGCCAACTTGGACAAAAATGAGAGACAGAGGAGGTTGAGGAAGTGGAGGGGGACAGTGCGGAATGCCGTAAGTCATTTGGATTCGCATGCCTCACGACTGGTTGTTCCTTACTCTATATCGCTCCCTGTATTCAACACTAAGTGTAACCCAGGTGACCTTTGAATACAATATGACAAATTGTACCAGCTACAGGCATGCGACTGTTCAGTAGCATCCTACATGGCGAAATATTCGCTACAGGGATACTTACCTCGTTAGCTGATGAATAATGCACCAAGTTGTATAACAGCATATGCAGAATTTATGAAATGCACCAATCAATACATTCAGAGAACACTTTATTACTCATGTCTACGCATAAACTAACACGAACCCTTCATTTGCAGTTAAAGCGGGTGATGGAGGGACGAAACCCGAGGGCAAGAAACGGCAGGCGGGGTCAAGAGGTACGTGTGATCACTTGTTGGCACCTAAGATGTCTATCAATACGTGTCTTTCAAGGAAACTTAGTTAAGGTTAATCCACACCATCGTAGATAAAATAGTTAATAAATCCCGGATTATTGGACATACATCCACATCTTCTTGGACCGTGCTTTCAAACTACCGAAGACGAAGTAGAAGGTAAATAAAGCAACTGCTCAAGGAAGACCATAGTTAGTCTTATTTGACAGAAGCTTAAATAACTTCTCTAAATTCCGCTCAACCACGTGACGGTGGTTCCCACTATTTTCAGACTAGCTTCCGAATTATACGCTTGTTGTATTTTGTCCAATATGTTACTATTCTTTGTTTGATAAAAGCCTTTGCAAACAATTATATTGCTAACTGCTTAAATTTCCACATTTCCAAAAGCCCATAATGGTATCCAGTAGTTGGTACAAATTGTCACATTTCGTAAAAAGACTGATTATGAGTGCCCTTTTCTCTGCTCACCTCAGTTCCAAAACATTAGAGGTGTGAGATTTTGCTTGCAAATGAACAGATTATCCGTAGTAAAATACAGTCATTATAGCTCTACAGAACAGGCCGAACTTGCTTTCTGAATATGTCACAACAGCATTTGGAAAACACCGGCGAATGAAGCTTTAATGCTTATCTCTTACATTTAATTTAATTCATTGTTTTTTCCACTATAGCGCAAAGCCAAATAACTCTGCACCGATTGTCGCCGTCCGATATCTGCAAGCCGAGTTTTTCTACTCAGGTAGCGGAAAATTTCCTACACCTTTCAAACTCTGTTTTATTAGGCCAATTTAGTAAGTTTTGCTTGTCCGTTACTGTTTAAATGCAAACTGAAAGCGAATTTTGACTTTTGCATCTTCTTTCACTTAGATTAGGGGTAATGTTGAATATACTTCCTCGGAGAGGCCAGGGAGTTATGCAAATCTTCAGGCACAAATGCTGCAGCACAATTTCCCACGCAGCTAGGGCGAACGGCATGTGTACGCAATCGCGGATAGCGCACAGATTCATAATCAGAAGTGATAAACGCATTGTTGCTAAGATTGTAACGAAGTAAGTTGATTGGTGAAAATCGGGGTGTTGGTAGAATCAACAAATTATTTGTTTAAACGAATTGGTTCATCTGAGAATTGTATATTGTCTACTATCAGTGTCTGCTACGCACCATTCACGAACACTTCAAGGTGCAATTGAAACTCATACACATACTACAAGAATTTATCCCTACGACCGATTGGTAAACACTAAGGATTAAAGAAATAATATTCTGTTTGAACACATTGTAAGACAGCCAATGGTACACCGAGACAGAAGCGCAGATACGCCATGGTATAACCAAATTCGAAAAAAGTAGGCAAATAGTTACAAGAAACCAGTGTTAACCTTAAAATTGTGAAGGCACAACAGATTAGTAAAATCTATTAATCTCTAATTCCTGGTATCCAAAATATGGTGCACCAGCTATTGTGTTGAGGCCTGTCTGATCAATGAATAGTTACGATGGGTTGCAAAACTTTAACTGCGGAAAGAGTATTTGTTTAGCAGTACACATACTTTTATGACGCACGAGACATCAATCGCATTATGAAGCGCTTGTTCCAGAGGATTCTTGAGCATATATTCACAAATGCAAAATGTCACGTTCTGTTTATGAGTTTCGAGACTGCATGTTACACTTCAGGTTTGTCCATACAATGAGTAACTGAATCGCGCAAAGTTAACGCAAACAGTTTCTGGTTATTCCTGAGGAAATTTACATTGGCTTTCTGAAATGGGAGGTATGGGTTTAATGGCGATACAAGCAAGCCGATACTGCTACAATGGCAAACGGACGCGGCCAATTTATCAGTTGATTGCTTCTGAGTGATTTATGCGGATTACATAAATTTCATGACTGCTTTAACTTGGTTCTCCAAGGTTAACTCCAATAACCTGGTCTCAATTTGTCAGTGTAGCACAGCCAATAAATTATAACTCAAACCCATAGGTATTTGACGCTTACAACACAATCTCTTGTAGGTCAAAGTATCAAACAGTTATAATTGAGAGACGTCTGATAAGATTGTCACTGGCACGGTTGGAGCACGCCTACGGTAACGGCTTGTAACGCTGGCCAATCGAACGGATTTACGCTGACCTGATGGCGTGGCTTAGCCCGGGGTATGCGCTGGTGAGACGGAAATTGAGCGATCGTGAGAGCGGTCCTAGCCGAACGTATTCGGGTAGAGGCTGAGTGCTCGGAACTGACGCACAAGAGAGGGGGTTACGGTAGACGCGCACTAGTGACTTAGTCGCGAACGCTGGCCGGGTAAGGACGCACACAAATCACGTGACCGACCGACTCCCACTGAGGCGAAGAGGAAGAAACGCAAGTGGTCCTCTGAAGGCCCTTTTATGACCAACAAAGGACGAATCACAGCCAGTGCTATGGGTTATTAAGTTGGGGAAAACTGCTACCACGACGAGGTGGAAGTTTGTAAAAGACCATTGTCAAAAGGTGCGCAGTTGGGCCGCGTCTCGGGGTGGCTGAACGCTGCTGCGTTGTGGGGAGGAATTGGACTTCGCTTTCCACAGCCATTCTGCCGGGGTTTCTGGCGCGTTTTTGCAGAAATATTTGAGGGGCCTGCGACACAAACTGGGGAAGTGTGTTCTTAAGCGAATGCAGTTCTCGTCTTTACATATTGTTTAGTTTATATGACGGAAGCCATAAATACATTACAGAACATGGCCTCAGCGTTTTGAAGCGCATAGAACTGTCATTTGTACAAACTAAATTATGGAGCTGGCACGTTTGTGTGCAAAACAACTGGGTTTGTAAGATCATTCCTGCGTTATTATACGCAAAGGTGAAGTAATCCCGTGGATATTCTATACGATGATTAATGTTTGCGTGGAGCCTCGAATTGGGAGCACTCATGATATTGTCATTATGATCTCTGTGTACAGATGCCGGTAATATCTATTACGCAATATACGAGCCTTCATTCGTTGCACTAGCACTTACAGAAGCTGGAATAACACAAAGCTCCACCGGAAGCTAGCCTGGAAATAGAGGGAGAGAAACTGCATTGTAATTTCGAAATACGCAGTCAAGATAATTCAGTATCATGGGTGCTACAAATTATAAAAGGTCAAGTAGTAAGTCGTTAAAAGCACTACATCGATTGCAGCTCGAGTGCAACTAAAGTTTTCTGTAATTCTTCTACGGCTCACCTTGAAGCCGTCGTGGTCTTCTCAGTTGATTCTCGTCTTCAGTAGCTAAACTGGAATCTAGAAAAGGTATCGATCTCAGAAGAATTAGAAAATTCTGCCGACTGACCTGGTTCTCGGAAGTGAACACAGTCCACAGGAAGATTGTACCTAGACTCGTCGTCAAGGTCCAATATCCGCAACATACGTCTTCCGAGATTACTCACAGCAATTTCAGAGCTGGGTTGGAACTAACTGCCCCTGAAATGGGATACCTCGGCAACGCCAAACCCGAGCAAACCCGAGAACGAAGTGGTATGGATTTGCACATTTAGCAGGTGCCTCCCCAGTGGTAGAATGAACAAAATACGATACCGAAGTAGGATGTTAGCAATGTATCGATTGAGTCCCTCAAATGTTGTTGGAGCACATGAAGTAATTGTACGTTTCAAAGTACCAACAAAGTTTTCAGCTAATCCCTTGGATCAAGTATGTCTGGAGGCAGTAAATAAATAACGAAAACCAAGGCTCCGTAACGAATCAGTAACACACAATGCAGTGAAATGTGAACCATTATTCCTCACAATATCCAAAGACACGCATTCAAGGCTAAACACTTTCTTAGGGCACGAATATTAAAGTTGGCATTTGGTTTATCCGTCATGAATACTTCAGGCCACTACAAATGAAAATCAATGATTACAAGCGCATTATACTTCTGAAGGAACGGACCACAGTACTCAATGTGAACGCGCTGCTAGGCTTCACACGCCATTGGCCAGCGCGTCATTTTATAGGTCCGAATTCTTACCTTGTCGTCAGCCTTCACCACTTGAAACAGTCTGCCAAGTATCAGCAGCAAGCTTAGGCCACGAACACTAATATGGGGCAATAGACTTCATCTTTGCAATACCCAAATGACCAAAATGAAAATCAGTCAAGATTACAGCTCGCAAAGGCGGAGGAATCCCAATACAATATTTGACACTCAAAATGCCATCAGGAGTGACAGATAATTCATCACGGCATCGGTAAAATTGGGCAAACTCCCGCTTCAACAAAGGCGACCAGCCTCGTTTTAAAGCTGATAATTTTGAACCAAAGAACTTCCTTGTTTCATTAATTGGAGTTACACGAGATGTAGAAAGTGGCTGAGCAAGCAGGCAATCAACTTCGGAATCAGATTCAAACAAACAAGCATGTAGAGAGAGATAATCCGCGTGAGGAATGTCTTTAGCACCTCTGTGTTCTATCTCATAGTGCTAAGCACGGAGTGCGATGTTTCATCTTTCAACCATCGCTGCAGAGGATGTTGCCAACAAGCTAGACGCAGTGTGTTTACAATTCGAGGTTATCTGATCAGTTAATGTGGTGAACATCAAACTGAACAGATATTTGTGTAACCGAGTCACAGCCCAGTACACAGCCAAGGCTTCGCCATGCGTCTGAGCGTATCCCATCGCCATCTTGCTCAGTCTGCTGCAAATGCAGAGAAATGGGCGTCCTTCTTGTTCTGCCACAGCACCAACACCGCTTAGAGAGGCATCAGTAATAAATACCGGACGAGTTTCAGGCGAGAAAGATCGCAGAACCCAGTCAGACTGGAGTGAGCTTAGTACTTTGCTTAACCCTGTTCCATGCTCCGTAGACCACACCAAATTGTTAGAATACAGTAAATAGAAAAGTGGAGCAGCAACGGAAGCAAAATTTCTTATGAACTTTGAGTATTTACGTAAGGTTTCCATCACGAGTCTTAGTTCACGAATGTTTGTCGGTGATTTCACATCAACCAGGGGTTTAAGACGATCGGCATCAGGGCTAAATCAGAGGATGTAACGTGGTAACCCAGACAACTGGTTTCCCCAACACAGATTACACACTTTTTGTGACTCATTTATCTTAGCATCTTTGGATTGTTTCAATACTGGTGGTAGGCGAGAATCATGAGCAAACGTCAGCGGCATTTATCAGTACTTCACCTTGGCGCACTTCAACATCTTCTAAACCTTTCAAAAGTACATTCATGATATCCTGAAAACTGGCTGGACAGATATTAAGGCCAAAATGAAGAAAGCGATAACAATACAAACCGAAAGGCGTATTACTGGTAGTTAGTTCACTGGATGACTCAGTAAATAGGCATTTTATGTTTGCAGTTTCAAGAGATACCTAGGACCATGTAAGCGGGAAGGAAAAGCTTCAGGTTCCTCCGTAATGCGGCTACACAGTCTCGTACTTAGGTTGTTCCTATAGTCACCACAAACTCTGGATGTCTATCGATTTAACTGCAGATGCATGAAAATGGGTGTTGCCCAACCGGAGCTCTGAACGGGTACAAGTACTTCATTCTCACACATAGAGTTTAAAACTTTCCGGAAAGGCTTGCTTTGTCCATATGGCAAAATTCGACGTTTATAAAATACAGGATCTCTAATAACCTCAAGATCTACTGGAGGAATTTTCATATTACCACATGCTATGTTGCAGTCATGTATCACAGAACGAATCTGCGCCTCGGTATCTGCACTAAACAAAACGTAAAACTTATTTTGACGGCCTGCATAACTT